CAATCTTCTTCCTACTAGCACCTTATCGTGTCCTGATGTCACGATAAGAGATTTTGTTCTTTATCTACTTTTCACACTATTTTGCGACTAATTTCGGTCTTACAATATGGTTGTTTTTCAGTTGATGTGTTTTTTTGTCTACTTCTGGTCAAAACGGCCGTTTTTCCAATTTTCCCAGAAATATTCAAGTCCTAATCGAAATTTTGAAAATTTAAATTTCGTAGCCTCTTTTTCACCGTAACGTCATGATAACGCCTTTAACGTTTTTTGTTGCGTGCGTCGGAAGGTTCGACTGTGTCAGTCCGGGGGAATGGCATACATCCATATCTCGATGTAAACCGTCTTTACACTCGAATTTGTTTAGAGAAAAATTGTACTTTTTTAAGGGTTTCACGCTAAGCCAATTCGATACTCCTTTCTGTGATGCCAGATTTAATGATATGTACCAGTCGGTTATGTTTGGAAGTATGACCCTGATTTTGTCGAATGTATTTTTTAAAAAAATCGAATCGACCATATCATTCTCAAGTTTCTCGCGACATCTGAAAATCAGAGGTTATATTGATCAGAAGACTCCAATCAGAGTTTTAAGAAAACCGATAAAAATCATACTAGAGTAAAAACGCTGTCCGCAACTTTACTGAAGTCATCATACCGAGTAGAGCTGTCTTGTTCATGGCAGAGAGCGTCGCGAATTCCTACGAGATTACCATAGCTGGGCGAGAGAAAACCCTGATTGAACAGGCAGACGAGTGAAGCTGCCCAATGGTTCAGTAAACTTAACTTCTTGAACTAAAACTATTTATTAAAAAAACTTCTAGAGCTGCTTTTATTGAATTTTTTACCTAATTCTAGAGTAAGGTGACTATGTTAGTACTTGATTTATTTTTGAGTGCTTTTTTGTGATTATGTTGAGATAAGGCGACTTCTAGGTTGATCCATCTGAAACGGATCAAAGGTTCACTGTCTAATAAAAACTAATGGTATACTAGAGCTTCCAACCTTATTTTTATCAATGTTCGCGTCTTTTAGGTATATAGAGACCTAGCCATGGGAACGTTCTTTTTTCTAGAGTGGGGAGCGTATTTTGTAAGTGGCTTTTAAGCACGACTTTGTAGTCTCATGTCTTACGCGAACGGAATTGGCTCCGACTGAATGAGATATAAAAGCACCAGAGATAGTGTCCCGGACCCTTAAGCCAATGGTCATAAGGACTAGTTTTCTCAACCTCATATGTGACATAAGCAGACAACTGTTACACTAGCAATTCTTCATAAATTTAGCCTTTTTGACAGTTTGATTTCTGTCTCTCATTTTCAGTTCTGATATTTCTAATTAGCAGAGTTTGTTCCGTTTCAGCTTTTTCTGGATCAGTGTTTTCTAAGGGATCTTAAATGGTTCGTGACCACTCCTAACTGCAAGAAAAAGACCGTGGTACAGAGGAGGTCTAATTCTGCATTCTCAGTGGTAGTGCAAAGAAGCTGCGATCTTCATCGGTTACATGGTATTTACCGGTAATACTTGGAATTAGCTGTTGTCTTACGTTTTTTTTTCAATTTCGTCCTTTTTCTTGAATGCTTTCGGAGTTGTTCTGGTTAGCAAGCCTAATATATTTGAAACTACCTTGGTGTAGCAGGAATACGCAATTTGTTATTTTGTTTTAGCTATTTTGGAAAGCTTTTGTTAGGGTAATTGCCTTTTCACTTTCGCTTTCAATGTTCTTATCGCATACTGATGGTGGTCATAAAACCAATCCAAGGCCTCTAAAACCATCTACCAGTGTAAAATTTGTGCCATCAAATTCCTTTTTGGCGCTTTCCTTGCAGTTTTTTTGTATTATGAGTTGAGACTTGAAAGGCTTTACATTGTAGCAGAAGGCCTTTTCGTGCACAGCCCGGAGACTCAAAAAGAATCAATCAATCCATGCTGCCTATACAACCCTTCTGAAAAAATTGCTTATCGAATTTGTCAACAACGAATCCTCGATCTAATAAATGAACTTATAGCGATTAGCGAAAACAAAAATGTAAAAATTTAGCCATAACAGGCGACATAAATTTCGAACACGCGAATTGAAAATCAATGGACTCGAATGACAGCTACGAGCTGAAAGTCCTTAATCTTCTCTCTGAAAATGACTTTGAGGAATGTTTATTCCAAAACATTAAGAAACAGTTAGATATACTTTTGACAATTAATCCAAATGTATTATTGAACTACACTACGCAAAACGAATTCAACAAGTCTTACAGATCCGATCACTTAGCATACACTATAAAGATTCATACTGAAACGGAAGTATGAACTACAAAACAAGATGAACGGTTTGCGTTTCATAAAGCCGATTGGAATGCAATAAATAAAAGTTTATTAGATAAACCATTTCTTCCGTACTGTTATAGTATTGTCGACGAACTTGTAAAACAATGGTATAAATGGCTTTGCAAGATCATTGAAGAAAATGTTCCAAGAGTAACAAGCCACAGAACGAACTTCCCCCTTTGGTTGTCTAGTAATACATCACACCAAATAAAATTATTTCCGCATTAAAACGTAAAATCGAACAGAAAAACAGAAACAATCTAAGCGGCCTCATATAACTAAAGAAGAAAGAAGCTCTGCCACGCAAAATTTATTACAAGATCAAGCAGGCTATGAAGAAAAGCTTTTCAAAGGAAAAATGTTTTCTGAAATGCAAAAATGTCTTAGATCAATCCACAAAAGCAGTCGTTTTCCAGACCTTAAGGCTTTCGGAAACAATCAAGCTTACAATGATAATGAAAAAAAAAAGCTTTTCATTAATTTCATCTACAGTATTTTTACCAGAGGTTATCAACTAAATGCAATTCAAAAGTACGAAAACAATGTCCATAATAAACTAGTTATAACAGAAAAACAAATTGTCCAAATTCTCTCGAACCTTGATACCAGTAAAGCCTGTGAGCCTGACAAGATCGGAAATCTTATCTAAAAAATTACCATCTCTATCACAATCACCCTAACTTGTTTTCACAACTGTAATAGCAAAAGATTTTTCCCCACTTATTGGAAAATCAGTGAAATAGTCCCATATTTCAAGGACGTGAACAAATCACAAATAGAGAATTACCGGCCAAAAAGCCTTCTTTGCAATGTATCAAAAATACTAGAGAAACTTAATTTTAATGATTTTTATAATATAATCAACAAATACTTGCATGGAGCCCAACACGGTTTCTGTAAAATGCGATCGGTGATGACTCAACTTCTACAATTTCTCGACTATCTGTACAAACAATATGACATTTCAACTAGAACAAAACTTTATGTTCTCTACCTAGATTTTCGTAAAGCATTTGACAGCGTTCTTCACTAAAAATTAATTCATAAAATACAACAATTTGGAATTGGCGGAAACTCCATAAAACTCATTGCAAGTTACTTAACAGACGGGGGACAATGTGTGAAAATAAATGATAAGCGCTCCTCAACAGCATCAGTAATTAGTGGTGTGCCACAAGGGTCAATCATTGGACCCCTACTATTAATCCTATTTATAAATGATTTACCAACTATAATTTAAAAAAGCAAATCTTTTGGGCATGCAGATGATTTCAAAGTTGTAAATACTGACGCTTGTACTCTACAAGAAGACATAAATAGAATAGAAAAATGGTGCTCAGACAACGAAATGAAAATCAGTGGTGCTAAATGCTATATACTACCAATCAAAACGAAATGCGAAATTGATCATTTGACGCCTAAATTAATTGTAAAAAAGAACAAAAAGATCTAGGTATTTTAATGGCGACGAACTTTAATTGGAAAGCAAGTTGGGATAAAAGATGTTCCAAAGCCTGGAGACCTTTCGGTTTTCTAAAACGCAACGTATCGAAACTAGTAAAAAATTATATGAAACTGAACGCATACAAAGGGTATGTAGTCCCTGTAATAGCAAACGCAGCTTAGGCATAATCAGCAAACAAAGGTGAAATGAAGGATATCGAAAAAATCCAAAAACGAGCCACATCATGGATACTTGGCATTTGGGAAAATTACAACAATAGATTAAAGCAACTAGAATTAAAGCAACTCCTGCCTCTATCTATGAAATTCGAACTACACAATGCCCTACTCTTACTATCCATCATGCAAGGAAAGTATAACATCAGAAAACCCGTATCAATAAAGAACAACCCTGGAAATGACATCAATACAAGACAAACCAGCGGTAGTAAAATATATATTGAAAAAAAAGAGGAAAAAAAGCCGATGAAAACTTTTGGAAGAGATCTAGCAGACTGTTTAACATCATTACAAAGAACGCAAACTACGAGATTAGCGAGCTGACGAAGCCGGCTTTAACAAAAAGCTACTGGAAATTTTTTGAACATTATAGTGGAATAAACTCATGCACATGGAGAATCATCTGCAAATGTGGCAATTGCAATCCGATACAGAAAATATGAGTGACCAAAACTGTGGGGTGCAAACCTTTGAGCCAAGAGCTCTAAAGACTGACCGACCGACTACTACTACTACTCTTAAGATCCCTTGCAGCGCTTCCGTCATCTGCGTCGTATAGTTTCAGCGAATTATAACTGTCGTTGAATCAATTTACCTATATCCTCACATAGCGATTTATTTAATCCTATTAGCAGGCTCTGCGAAAATGTGCCTATTTTTGTTGGCCCAGCACTAAATAATTGCACAATGAGTGATGTTGCGGATTTCTAGCTTTATGCTTCTCTCTGCCTTCTGCTCAAACATTTCGTTAAGTATTTTGACACTTCTGGCTTACGTTTTTGGAAAATAAGTGCTGTTTTTATCGGTCACTGATGTATTTGAATAATTTTTGGCTGCCAGCCAAAAAAACTAGGCTATAGTTATTTGGTATCCTATTTAGGACAATGAATATAAAAAATTTTACTCGACCGTTGGAACGTAACCGGATACCAGTAACTGTAAAGGGTAGGTATGAAACGGCTGAACCAAGCTCAACTTCATCGATAAATTTTCAGGGTCATTTATGAAAAGTGTTCGTCATGGCAATTCCTAGTACTACAGACTCTGACGAAGAAGAAAAAATATCCTGCTGGAAGAAGATAAAGCGTCGCGTACCCGTCTTTACAGCAATATTTCTTATGCTCTTCTGTAGCTCCCTCTATTTTGTATTTATGTTAGTTTTTCACATTTTTCTTGATATCGCGGAAGTTTTTAGATATAAACGTCGCAAGCAAGAATTTAACCCAGTAGTCTGATTCTGTATGCGTCAGATAAATTAACAAGAAAAAACATTCTTTTTCAAGTATTAATCTAATTCAGGTGTTTTTTAGAGCTACACATTTCTTCGTACTGAGAGAAATATATTGGAAGGTTCTCGTAATTGCTCAAGGACTAATAGCAATTTTTATGTTCGTCAATTTTCTATGTGCTACATTCAGTGATCCGGGATTTTTTCAAAAATGTAAGCAATTCTCCACTGTTTAAAAATCTATCTATTTTTTAGCATAATTTAGCCGTCCTAATTTTGTTTCATTAGCAAATGGACCCGAAGATAACTTGAATGACGGCCCTCTTACCCGTAATATTGAAATCAGATCATTCAACGTCAAAGTTAAATGGTGTTCGACATGTTCCTTCTACCGCCCTCCACGTTGCTCACATTGCTCTGTCTGTGATTACTGTGTAGAGGTGAGTCAGATTTACTGAATTTTACTCATTGTCGTTTTTCGCGATTTATGTTATCGACTTGCTCTCCGATGGAAACAGATGTGTTCTCTCGTTTTTTCCTCATTGAAGTTGTGTTGTTTTCTTGACTTCTTTCAGACGATGTACTGTAATAATTGCTGAATACCTGGCATCTCGAGCTTTAACTTTTACTGAAATAAAAGCATTCCTTGAATGTATTTCTTTTGCAGAAATTTGATCACCACTGTCCGTGGGTGAACAACTGCATTGGCATCCGGAATTACAGATATTTCTTTGGCTTCGTCACTGGCCTCACAGTCCACATGCTCTCCCTAGCCACTCTCATCACTCTCTATCTGGTGCAGAACTGGGACAGAAAGGATTTCCAGTTTGTTGTTTGGTCAGTCCAATTTGAAATCTAATTGGCACATAATGGTTAATAGCATGTTTGTTGGTTGCGCCCAAAGGTAGAAAATATGATACAATTGTTTGCCGCCAGTTTAAATTTGAGGTGTTACTGATACGAATAATTGAATAGAGTGAGCTACTAGAAGTGAGGCTCGAATTGACATTAGTTTGTGTCCCATAAGTGATCAGGCTTTTTTTGATAGAGAGCGAAAAGATTTTTCACGTATGTAGGTTTTCTAAAAGTTTGAAAATTAGTTCTCACTCAAATTGATGTTCTTGTTCCCCGGCGAAGGGTGTTTTAGTTTTTTACACATAAAGTCAGGTACCGCAAGTTATCATCATAATGGGCTGAATATATCATATTAAACCCTTTCAGTCGTGATGCGAACGAAATTTAAAATTTTTTTAAGTTTACTGTGTTGAAAAAAAAAACGGTTTAAAATTATTGCTTTGTATTCTAAATACGAGCGGGTATATCAAGCGATTAAAAGTTATAATAAAAAAGTCTTTACTTAGGCATTGGAAAATTTGGTTTTACTCCAGAAAAGCTTTTTTATAAAGCTTCTTTTAGCGCTTGGCAATGAAAAGCTTTTAAAAATTTGATTTTGTTTTTCATTTTTCGAAGACAACTGTAGTCGAGCATGACAGTTTTATTTCGTTTGTTGAAAAGAAGGCAAGCACCACTAGAAGGAAAACATTAAAAAAATTGAAGGTCACCAAAAACGTGATTGACATCTAATTTCGAAAGTGAAGGTTAATTGTCAGAAATCCCAGCGGAAAAAAAGTTTGATTATTGGTTGATTTCTCAAATTGTGTTGAATTTATCAAAAAAGCGTCAATCATAAATTGTTCTTGTTATTCAAAGAACATACAAACATTTTGTCGAAAGTTCAAGTTTTCCAACAAAAACAAGTCAGTTATTTCTTTCAGTTTTCTTGCGATCATTAACTCTTTTTCAACTGTCTGTTGGGTGTGTTTCAATGTATAATCTGGATTCATACTACAAGCACATTTTGTCAAATTGGCTACATTGTTTTTTCCTGTAAAAACTTGTTTATTAGTATTCTTTTTTCATGATTCGGCGCCTCCATTTACTAGGGATCATCGCTTTTTGAAGCAGCTCATTTTTAATTATACATTCGAAGCGTAGTGTAAAACTCTGAAGCAACTTTTTCTTACTCCAAACGAAGTCGCAATTAAACGTGCTCATTTGGTGGCAATTTTGTTATATTTCGAAGAATTGGCAGTTTAGTAATATCTGTAGTCGCTTTATTGGTGGCTAGTTTTGGATTGCTTCCAAGTGTTTGGCGCAGTTGCGAGGACGTGGGACTCCTAATTTACAGCTCGGAGATTCAGTTTCGGCGTTTTTAAACAGTTTTATTTTAATTCGGTTGATTTTTTGCATGGCATTGGTAATTTCGTAGCAACTGTAGCTGCTTTTTTGTCAGCTTATGTCAGTCAGTTTTCAAGCGAACTTGTAGCAGATGCGAGGAGGTGAAACTCCTAATCTACACGTCGGATGATCGATTCCGACACAGCAAAAGTTTAATATTTTAAGGCTTAAATATACTTCTTCTTTTCTCCTTGTCCCATTTTGTTGTTGAATTCATAGTTAATTTTGCGGTTTCTAATTTTTGCTTCCAAAGTGCAGCTTCCCATCGGTGTAAAAATAGTGTTATGACTGACAGTTTGCTTCACCTAAAATTGTTCTCTGAAAATTTTAACGGCCAATGTCTCCCAAGTAGTTTCGCGCTGACCACTCTCGATTGCGTGGGGTTCGTTTCTTAACTTTTTTCTTCCATTTTTTACTATCTCCAGGAAAGTTTGTAGGGGGTCAAATGTGGATTCATACAAAAACCCTATTAGTCGTAATTCGATTTAGTAAAACAAAGATTCAAAGAAGATCTCGATATCGAGAAAAACTGGGCTGAATAGTTTCAGATAAATTTAAATTTTAAATCTCTTTTCAATTTTAAATCTCTTTTCAATTTTATCAAATCTTGATATATCTTTTTAATTTACTTTGGTCGGTTTTTTAAAATAAATAACTCTTGTTTTGTCAGTTTAAATTGCTCTTTTTTGGAAGAAAACCTGTAGTTTTAAAACGAACAATTACATCCATCAAAATTTTTAAGAGGAATGAACGTAGTGAAGACTCTGATATAGGGCTTGGTGATTTTTTTTTCAAAGAAAGTCTTAAAATGCTCTAATAACTACAAATGTGCATTCTTCATATATATTAATGCATTTATGAATGCACTGAGATATATATGCTTTTTTTGAGTTTAAATGAATTCCATCTGCTGAAAGTTAACATAAATAGCACTCTCCAAATACGAACGTGGAAATGGCGCAAAAAACGTGAACAATTTCTAATTCCGAAAGTGGAATTAATTTTTTAGATTTCGAGCGGAATAAAACTTTACCTGTTGATCCAGTTTTCAAAGAGCTTTAAGGGCATCTATTTTTTCCCTGAGATTTTTAAAAGTCTTTTTTGTTTACTAGCATTCGTTACTCCTTCCCAACTGTCAGTTGACCAGGTTTTGAATGTTATTATCCTTGCGATAAGCAAGGGTATTGCAATTGGGTACTAGACTTTTCCCCCGTAAATAACTTTAGGCACAGGACTCGGATCCTGGACACATTCATCCTAGGCCTTTCTTTTGCAACAGAGATGTTTTGAGAATGTTAGCATTTAAAATATACGGCATATTCGGTTTTTTTAGATGTTGGTTGTAATTTTACCAACTCGCTTTGTTAAAACTTCATTTTTCCTTTTTTTTCTCGGTATAATAGGTTTCGGCATATTTAATATCGCCTTAATGGTCCCATATTGCATCGCTTGATGAGCAAAAGCTTTTTTTGTTTGCTATTTGAGTTTTGAGGGGGATGAGATGAGCTTTAACAATTTTTTGTAGTTCTGAATTTTTGCGAATTTTCTTAATTTTTTTTTCGGCTTTTAATGTTTCTGCTCAGACGTTTTTGTTTTTTTTTCCCGCATGTTAAGTTTTCCGATGAAGAATTTTCACATTCTTTTGTGTTATTATAATTTTTTTGTTTTTCGCCTTTTTTGACCAATTTTTGTTCGAGTATTGCATTGCAAGTGGTGCAAACCTCAGTTTCGCCTCTGCTTAAATTTTTATTCTATTTAAATTTTATTCTATCATTTAAATTTTTACCATTGGGATGAGCGATACTTGCATATTTACTCTTGCGATGCTAGACGTTTTTTTTCCCGGTAAATAACTTGTTCAAAGTGTTCATCTAGAGTTCTGGACTCATCTCTAGTGGTGTCTTGTTTACACTAGCTTGCTTGCAAGCGCTTGTGTTGTAGTACGAACGTTCTTTTTTTTCTAACCTAGCTCGCAAATAAAAGTGTTTCTTAAAAATGTTCACGTATTTGGAAATTTCTTTGTAGCATTGGAAATATTATAGCGTATGTTCTCTTGTTATTTGTGGCTAGTGTTTGTTAGTTATTAAGCGTCCGTGGCTGAGTGGTTAGTTCGAAAGACTCATAATTTCCAGGTTGCAGATCGGATCCGAGACGAAGCTGAATTTTTACTAATTTGAGGCTTATTTTTTTTGCCGTTAATAGAGCTGCTTTTTTGTCGGGATCTCACTACTGTTTACGAAGCGTAGCTTAGACTCTGTGTATAATTTGAAAACCAAGGAGTACTCTTCGGTTTTGGTGCAATGGCAACTTCAATGCTTGAGACGACAAAGCCCGGGAGTTTAATTCCAGTCGGAATCAGTGTTTTTTTGCTATCGTCGGTCTGTTTTTTTGTTGGCTTACTTTCCACAGAGAGGGCGTTTTTGAAGGTTCGACTTCTTCCTAGCCTTCCGAAAGGCCCTTGTGGCATTCCGAAAGTTTCTAAGGTGCTTTTTTTTATCATAACAAATTTATGAAAGTTTTTATTACCTTTGCTTGAATCTTGATTTGTCTTTTCATTTACCTATAATCATATTTAAACATTTTTTATTGCAAACTTTGCGAAGCTCAGCTTTCCCTCTGTGTTAATTTTGCACCGACCACCTCGGCGTGTTTTTAGCACACAAGTGAAAATAAAAAGTTAATCCGAATATGAAAAGTGATTATATTTCAAAAACGAGATTAGAATCCGACTGAAGGAGAAAGGCATGCCTCCGTTCAAGTAAATAAGAATTTCGCGTTGTTACTAATTCTAGGATTATTTCTAATGTTTATTAATGATTTTTATAGAGCTTCTTTTTGTCCTGTTCTTGCTAGTTTCTGCGAAGCGTAGCTTTGCCCCTGTGTTCATAATGTATTCAATTTATTGTTCCCGGCCAATTTAGAGTGGAGCTAACGAAAATATCAGTGACGGCAAAGGTCCTGAGTTCGAATCTGACCAGGACCTGTTTTTCAAACGAAATATTCTTCAAACAAAATTGTCCGTCAATTATTTGTCTGCTTATCTTTTGTCGGCTTAGTTGTCACTTCTTTGAATCGTTTTTTTTGCTGCGCACATTTTTCTTAACTGTTGCTTTTTTTAGCATTGGGTTTACTCCTACAATTTGTAGTTTCGCTTAAAAGTTTTCTTCGGCCCAAATTATTTGGCCTTCTGTTATTGGCTTAGTGGCCTAATTTTGGGTCTTTTCAAAGGAAACAAAAATTTACGCTCCCCTCCGCAATATTCAAGTTAGTTGTATGTTTACCACTCGGTTTGTTGAAATTTCATTTTTTCGTTTTGGATTTTTTTTTCACTTTGCAAAAAAGTAAAAACTTCAGAGAAAATCTACATTTCTCTGAAGTTTTTACTTTTTTTGAATAAAGAGCTATAAAAGCAATTTGACTAATCAGGGTTCGGCCCTGATACGAGCTGTCATGTTTTAAGATTAAAAAGTAAAATTAGATAGTTTTTCAGGTATATAGGTCCTATTATTTTTTTTTCAGAAAAAAGTGTTTAAAGTTGTTCGCCCTTGTATTTGATTTTTCGCGGTTTGGCTTTTGATTTTTTGAAGCTCAGTTCACTTCTTTTATGAAATGATTTTTTGTAAGTTTATTTCTTAGCCTTTGTTAAATGAAGGTACATTTCACTACAGAATAGCTAAAGGGTTAAGGTCACAAAAAACGTGTTTAACATATAGTGTCAAAAGTGGACGTAGGTTTTCTGAATTTCGAACGGATCCAGTTTTCTCTAAATTGGATAACTTTATGAAAAAAGTGTCAATCATCACAGTATCTGAAATTCAAAACGTGGTTTTTAGCGTGATTTGTTTGTTTTTCAAATTTTGCGATTTCTTAAACGTGATTTTTTTTCTTCAAATTTCGAAATTCGAAAAATGTTTAAAATTTTCAATCAACTTACTTGGTTTTTCGGTTTACTTGTTCTTTTACTTTTTGCAAGTGTCTGTTGGTTATGTTCAGGTCTATGCAGCTTTTGCGACGCTCCTTTTTGCCTCATTCTAATATTTAATGTTTTATATATTCAAATGGTCTCAGAAAAATTTTAAAAAAAACTTGATAGTTTTGAAAATTATGCAGCTTTTGTTGTTCGCTATGTTTTTACAAATTTCAGAAAATGTTGTGGCTATCCTCCTTGAAGACAGGAAGGTATCCTAAAATTTAATTTTAGATGATATCGATTTAAAAAATGAAATCGTTTTTCTTGTCAATTTTCTACAAAAATTGTTTTTTAATTTGCTTATTTTACTATGACTGTCGAATATGACTAATCGCTAGTTTCTCGTTCAGCTCCTTTTGTAAGACCATGGCCGGAACATTCTGTGTTACTTGCCTAGTAACCGGCTATTCTTGTTTGACTTTTATATACGTTTTTATCAAATCATTGAACATAGGGAGTCGAAAGTATATAGGTTTTTCAACAGCTGCATTTTCAAATTATTTGGTGTTGTTTTTTGTTTGCAGCTGGGTGATATTGGCCGTGTTGGTGATTGCTTTCCCGCTGGTCGTTAGTCTTACTTGCTTCCACATCTATTTGGTAATCACAGGGAGGACAACTAATGAACAGGTCACCGGCAAGTTCGCAGCCGGACATAACCCCTTCGACATGGGCTGCTGGCCCAACTGCTGCTCAGTACTCTGTGGACCACAGTACCCTAGGTAATTGATCATTACAACTCCTTAACCCCCCCCCCCCCCCCGCCCAAATTTTGCTCACATGCACATACACATACACTGCATTTTATTCCCCTATAACCAATCATTACCCAGTAGAAGATGGGGCGGCGTGGTGGCGGAAGCCATTTCCTCCTAGGGGCTTGGCCTATTAACCACACAAAGGGCGTGGTTATGCTATTTACGGCGTTATTAATGGTCGTTTAGCCATAAAAAATTTCTGAAGGTCAAAATTACTTAAAACGTGTCAATTTAAGACTGTTTTTTCAATAATTTGCTCGCGATAGATTCAATTGATCAGAAGTAGGTCCTTAACAGTGTCCCGCTCCCTCGGGAAAATAGTAGATTGCCTGCATATATATGTAGTCTAGGTTCAATTAATCAGCAGATAAAGGCTCAATGAATTCGCGACACATTTATTGGATGGCCTTTGCCTTTAGTTGAAACTAATATTTTCGTACGAGCTTCATGAAAAGTTGGATCGTCTATTTTGAGTAAGTCAATTATTTCGCTGGAAAAAGACACTAAGTGAGTCGTAATGTCATGTCTATTAGCATCTGAGCTCTAATTCGTATTGCAAATGGTAGCACGAATTTTCAATCGCAGAATGATAGAAATGACGGTGTCAGGAATTAATTCCCTTTTGAACTAGCGTCAGTTTAACCTTATCTAGCTACTTGTTTAGATCACTATTTGATCAAGCTGAGCTTGGTATGGTAAGTGGTTTGGTGGTATTAGCGACAGAAGGGAGGAGGAGCATATCGGATATATGCAGTAAGATTTCCGCTATTGTAAAAACTATGTTTTAGTTATGCTGAGTTCACCTACATCAACCGAGAGCAGCTGAAGGAGGCGAATGTGTTATGGAAGAAGAGAGCGACAGCAGAGGGGGCTATCCAGTTGGGGGAGCCCACGGGTCTGTCAAACGTCGAGATCCAACTGATGCCAGATCAGAAACATCACCAGGCTGTGTTGGCAAAGTCAAACAAAAACAACCTGATGCATCAACAGAACTCAATGTTCATGTCCAAAAACGGACAAGTACGCATGAATTTAAGCATTGCTTGCGTGAATTATGAGTTGATTCTGAGTCTTTATTAGCTCAAGCTTGTGATCATTTTTTGATGAAAAAGTTTTATGTCTTGGTCTTTACTTTAGATTGCTCCTCCCGCGACCGCAACGATGGCCACTGCCAATGGGAGCCAGAGGACCACTCCAACGTCTGTGGGTGGCCACGTGGTGTTCAGCGACAGACAGCAAACTGTTGTGAACTTGAACACTGTGGACGGAGTAGGAGGCGGAGGAATGAATACTACAGTAAACAACTTCAGCTCCATATCAAATACTGCAAATTCAAATTCCACTGTTAGTACTCGGTCGTCATACTCCACCGCCCGTCTTTAAACAAGCGAAGAGTAGTGTATTATTACGAAAAAAAATTTTCTGACCTAAGTCGCAAATAAAAGTGATCATTTGGTGGCACTTTTATATTTTAGTTTAACAGTTTAATCTTTTTTAAGCCTTTTTAAGCCTAAGCAATTTAAAAGCATATTTTGCTGCTTTATTTTTGGCTCGTGTAAGGTCCTGTTTGAAAGAAACAGGTATAATGAAAATGTATGGGATTTGGTGTCTTTTTTTTTGTTTTTTTTTTGGCGAAGCTTTGGAATAAATTTGTGCGCTTTTCGCAGAAATTTCAATTTTTCTCAAAAACTATTGTATCAAACTTCAAAAAACAGGTAAGAATGAAAAAATTGGATGATCTTCTAGTGCTTGCCTATTTCGCTAGTCTTTTCAATTTACCCCACGTTCTACGGCCTTCGAAATTTTCAGTTGAGGGATTTTTGGCCTATTTGTTTTGAAATTTTTCATTTTCTCAAATACTGAATACACAAATTTGAGATGAGGGTCTGAATAAAAAAAAAACAAATTATGGGGATCTCCCTTTTTCAAGCGGCTGTTCCCTAAAATCGGTAGTAAAAAAAGTAATGGCCTCAAACAAACACATTTTTTTGATTTTAAAACTAATTCTCAAAAACCACCCTGCCAAATTGGAGGTAAAGTTTTAGCCGCAAGAAAAACAATCAATTTTGTAAATCTTAGCTGTCGAAAAGCTGATTTTGGTTTGGGACAAATCCATTTTTTGAAATTTTAACCGCTTTTTTAGAAATTTCATCACTGTTCTCAAAAACTGCTAATTAAGTCTGATATCAAGGGATCAATCGAAAAATCAGGGTGGGGCATCCTCCGTGCATAAGAGGCTTTAGTAGCGAAAAGTTAATTGATATAGGAAAAGTCAAGTTTTCGACGTGAGTAATCAACTGGTCGGAGATTCAAGTCCGGAACATTGAAATAGTTTTTTTTGACGAATTTTTGCTGCGTAGAATTGGCATTTTGATAGAAGCCGTAGCTGCTTAATTGGTGGCTCGTGGAGCAGATTTGAGAACGTAATTCTTTTAATCTCCCTAAAACTTTTCTTAAGGTGTATTTTTAATATTTTCCTTATTTCACTGTGTTGTGCCTGTTTAGAGCTCTTTTTCGCATTTTCCTGGGTTGTGTTTGCGTAGCGCAGCTTCGTCTCTGTGTAATATTATACTCCTAATTTTAATGTTCATTAACGCTATCTCAATAAGGTCTGATGAAAATTAGATGGCAATGAAAAGTTGATGGCTTTTGATCCTTCTGGTCGCAAAATGTCTCTCTCTTGTCATCAGGAGCGTCTTTGTATTCTCATACGAAATGAAAGATAATTTCAGGCGTTTCCCTCCCCCTCAAACAGGAAGACCTATTCTGCCTTACAGAGAAGCGGTGGCGACAAGAGTCCCAATATGAATGCACACTATGTAGTGGCATCTAATGGAGGGCAGCAGCAGCAGACACAACCTACGTCAATCAGCTACACAGGTGACAAAACAACACTTGCTCAGTCGCCCTCTAGCGCCATGTATCAACGCCAGAGCACTAGTCCCGACCTGAGGGTTACGAGACAGCAACAACAGCAGAAGTGGAATCAGAATCAGATGGTATCTGTAGGCACAAAGCCCACCACTAGAATGAGCGGATTCCATAACGCCACAAGTAGCGGAGACATGCTGGCCCCTGATCTGTCGGATCTCGAGTTTGAAATAGGGAACACCGGAAAACAGCCGTCGCCAGGAGCTGCATGGTCGACCGCAGATCATCTGAACAATGAAGCTCACCTGATGTCGCCTGTCAATCAAGCGGGCTTGGGCTCCTGCACAAAGTCAATATCACTTCTAAATGCAATGCAAACATGTGACATGGCTGCTGGAAACAATCAAAAAACATCATCTTATAGGCCAATCAAGGCGAAACTCCCCACAACCACTTCATCCGGTGGGGCTGCCCAGATGCCGACACGGAATCCCCCCAAACCCCCTAGCAGAAGCTCATCAAGTGAACAGTCGAAAACTATAGACTTGAACACTGAGGAAATATTTGAAATTAGTGTGTGATATTGATATGATTAGAGATTTGATGACGGCTCAATGCATTACACTACTGTAGATGCACATGTAGTTGTGATGTTTTGAACATTGGTTAGATACTTATAGCAGTCGTAGTATAATAACAGTAGTATTAATAGTAGTGTGGCATCTACCTTTTGGAAATGAAACTAGAGTTATTTATCCCAATTCCAAATATGAAATAGTAGATATTCTAAAAAACTGAAATTATGCTGACAAAGAAACGGTCTGTTTTATTCAAGAATTAGACGATAAGGTTGTTATTTCAGTCTGTTCATTGTAAAAAATGTACGTTTATTCAGTTCGTGCTTGAAACGGGTCTTGAAATGATGTGAAGTTTGAGAAGATTGTTTGCGGTGTTTTGAAGTGTGTCATTTAGCTGCCCAAATTTAATCGAGTAATTCTCGCGAGAATAAGAAGTAGACTGTTTCATTTGTTTCCTTTCGCCTCGAAGTTCTTTCTAGCTTTTCCTTTCAATTGAGTTTGCCATTCTCATCAGAAATGTCCAGTTAAGGGCAACAAGCTTTTGTGCAGCAAATGATTAGTCTAGAAATTTTGTCCCTGAGGAGCTAGGAGCTGTTTTTGAAAAGAATGCGTTCATTCTTATCCCGAAATAATTAAAAATGCGCACCTTCAGATTCTAAATCAAATTCTCATCCATGCGCTGAAATGGTAAGTAGTTAACAGTGACGCCTGATTGAGTGAGCATTTTGGTGATAAGTAATATAGTCGCTAGGCTCAAATTGGTGCTCATCATGTTTGTGCACAAAACAACATAATTTGGATCTCTTCAACTATTCAAAGGGAGAGGAGATTCGTTACTGGTATACTTAACCGTTGAATTATTTCTTTAAAGGGGTGGCAGTTCTTTACTAGGTACCAAAGGGGGGATAGTTAAAGAGATCCCATAATTTAATAGTTATTACATTACATACCTTTATCTGCTGTCGCCAATGCTAAATTTGATGAATCTAATTCTTCAAAATATTTGTTAATAATTTTAAAAATTACGCTTGTCAAATTCAACAATTTACTCTTTTCATTTTTTTGTTGCTCATCTTTTGAACAATCAGAAATGTTTAGTTCCTAAAAAAAGAGGCCTCAAGTAATCTGGCAGCTGAGAAAAAAAACTTATTTTTAATTTGAGTGTCTCATCTTAAAAACTGAAAACTTTGTAAATTCTAATTCTAAAAAATTAATGGTCTCATGAAACTTAATTTACGATACGCGCTCTTGCCAATTTGTTGTTGCAATGTGATGTGTTTTTTTTTCTGGTCACTGAAGTCCATGCTATCTTCAAGGTCCAATGTTTAAAATCAGTTGAAACTACCGATTCTGTTCTGATACGCGCAGCTTTCTCCCGCGAATCGAAGAAGTGCCTGTTTTAATGCTCGCGCAGAAAGCCAGCAACCAGACAGCCTGTTGAAAAGAAGAGAACCAATCTTAAGAAAAATTAGCTGGAGGTAAGCTTCGACTAATGAACGAGGAATCATCCTTGTGATTACCCAAGCAAACGCACAGTTTCAAACGTTTTTTCAACGTTTTTTCAAAACTAACGCATAAATTAGTGCTCAACAAGTTTCCTCTTGCTGCAAAGATTTTTGGTATTGAGTAATTAATAGCATGAGATGCATCGCCTCTGCAATGGAAAAATGTACTGTGGTTTACTTAACAAGGCCCCCAGAGAATCGCAAAAAGTTGGTTTGACCGAACTAAAATGAATCGAATTCGTCAAAGCGGATGAACCCTACAGCTCCTGCAAAGTTTCAGCTTTTCCATCTTCTACTGAGTGTGAAAACATGAGAAAGAGGTTTATAGCTTAACTGGTGACAGATTCAGATTTGCATTGATTCTCATAAGTAGCATTGCCACTTACCGGTAACATTAAAAAAGGTATTGAGAGGGGGACTTCCTCTTGTCAGAAGGACCGCATACCCAAAAGTTTCATCAGCAGCAATCAGAATTCCTTATTTAGAATAGATAGCTAGCGAGCGTAGTGTATTAGAATGACCTTTTTTTCTAACCTAACTAGCCAATGTAACTGCTAATTTGGTGGCATTTTTGCTAAAATGTCGATCTGTAGCATTAGAAATTTCATAGCATCTTTTCTTTGCTATATTTGTGGCTAATGATTGTCGATTGCTAAGCATCTGCGTCACAGATGGATGAACGTGAGATTCCCAGTCTACTGATCGGACGCTCAACTCAGCTTTTAGCACTAGTTTTCTTAGATTTGGTGGCATTATTGAATCATAGTATTAGCAGTTTTTAGGAGTTGAATAACGTTGTTCAGACTCTTATATAGGTCGTGATGATTTTTTTTTCGTTGTTTCATTTTAAAGTTCACGCTCAAATTAACTTTTTTTCGCAATATGATTTTAGATTTCTATTTAATGTTCGCGCAGAAAGCCAACAACTAGATTTCAGTTATTTTCCTTTGTTAAAAGGAAGGCAAACTTCGCTATCGAACAGCAAAACATCACCTAGTGGTCCAGTTTTCTCAAATTGAGTTAGCTTTATCAAGAAAGTTACAACCATAAATTGTTCTTGAATTTTGAACTTTCTAGGCCAGCAAATTGAATGTTGAGATTATTACACTTGCGAAAACAAGTGTTTTGTAGTGGGGAACTGGCTTTTTTCTTGTAAATTTTTCTTGCAACTTTTCATCTTGCTTTTTTAGAGAATTGCAACAATTTACAGGTTCCTTTGCACTTGGCCTTTAGGTAATGCTATCGCATTTGCAACCGAAGGTCTGTGGTTTGAATCCCAGTCAGACCTTGTTTTTTTCAGAAAGTATGAAATAGGAAATTTTCTTACACATACTGATAATCGTGTGCTCTAAGCAACTACTATGGTAGTTGCAAGTTATGTTAATTGTAGTTGTAGGGGACTTGAAATTTTTTTTTTATAAAAAAAACTGAAAGTTTTGAATGAAATCTTTCTTTTGTTCTCAACTGGTGTCTGCTCCCAGGTTATCGGCTTTGTTTCCACTTCATAGGTTTTGCTTCGCTGCTAATTAAGATTTCAAATGACTTGCCTAGCTTGTTTGTCCCAGAACTCTTGGTTCATAAAAACTTATTATGAAAATGTATTGGATTGGGTTTTGTAATTTTTTGAGACGCTTTGGAAAATTTTTTCACTTTTTGCAAAAAATCTAGTTTTATTTTGTCAAAAACGTCTACCGATTTTCAAAAAAGGGGTCATCTTTGGTTAGACCGCTTACTCTCCGGTATGCTTGGTTACTCCCTCAGTCTCTTTTTACATTATCCTTCTGTCTACAGCCTTCGAAAAAGTCTGTGGCAGAATGTTTGACACATATTTTTAATTTTTTTTTGTTTTCTCAAAAACTGCCTTTCTAAATTTGAAGTTTTTGTTCAATGAACAGAACGTATTTGAGAAATTTAAGTTTTGAAAGTTTTTGACTTTTCTCGAAAACTTCCGTCCCAAATCTGAAGTTTTTGTTTCTATGGAGAGAGACCTGATTGTAAGAAGCTCCCCTGCTCTAGCGGCTACGCACAAGTCTTCTTTTAAAAAATTTATTGTCCTCGGAAAACTCATATTTGTGACTTTTTGACCCTTTTTTTAGAAGAGAAACAACTAAGGTTTTGGGCAAAGTCCAATTTTGAAGTCAGTCATTTCGTCCGCGTCAGTATAACAAATTCATACAATTTCAAAGACAAACATCTGGTTTTAGATGGGCACGCAGTTGTTTTCAATCGAGACTTCTTTATCACCTCTGTGTCAAAAAAGTGTCGAAAATTCGAAAGAATTAAGCGATAATGTTAATCAGTTTTTGACTGTTAAAGGTTTGTTTAGAAGGTTAGAATTTTCACAAATTTGGCCCCTCTGTTTCAAGGAGAACCCTGTATTCAATTTATAGTCATCATTATAACCATAATTTTAAAAAGAAAATTGTTGAGATCGTGTTGCTGTGCCATTGCAAAGTGATAAGACCACTACTTAATGCCACAAAATTCAAGAAAGTTATCTGGATCCTAGATCACTTGGGTTTGGAAATTTGATAATTTGATGTGTCTGGTTGTACTGAGTGCATGTTTTGTTTGAGTTTCTGGCTTTATGCACAGATAATTCTGTTTTGCTGATTATCCCTGAAAGCATTTTTTGAAAGTTTAAGGTATCAGACTTTTATCCAAAAAAAACGCTTCTTCTGCAAATCTGTAAGAATTGACCTGGCTGTATTATGAAACCTTAGTAGCTTTTATGCCTTTGTCCCGTTTACTCTACTACTGAAGCAGGTGCCTTGAGTTTCTAAGGTCTAGAGCTTGTGTCATCACTGGACGTTGTTTCTTTATTGGGTTGGAAATCAAAATGTTTTCTGCGCAAGTGATTTAGAAAACTGTCTGCATATTTTTTGTCTGATCAATTTCCACATTGCTGTTTTGATTTAACCAACTTGCACTTTGAATTAAGTTTATTTGCAATAAGTAATTTTACCAACTCAAGCAAGTTTTTTTTTCAGTCGACTAAATGGCTTCAACTTTGTTTTATATCGGATATGCCGTCGCGTATTGCGCAGTCATCATGCGCCACCCTTCGTCATAGCTCGAAAATTTGCGTGACAAAAACTTCGTTTCCGGCTCAAATGCTGTGTACCTAAGTATTGTCAACTTAAATGCCGCTCGGTAAATGTTTCTGTTAGCGTTACTGATTGTTTTTTGGCCTGGGTTCGAGAAAATGAACATCATTTGACAAATTGAACATCATATGACAAAAGTTCTATATTTTTTAGGATTACAGTCATGGGGCATAGAGGTTTTGCAGTTTTTGTTTGTATATCAATAATTTACATCGCATATTATGTTGGTTAGTATATTTTTTTGCAATACATACTGCTTTTGATGGAGTTAACGGGTAGTAGGAAGCTCTTCTGCATTAGTGGCTCTAACAAACAGTTATCACTCTTGGAAAAAGCAAACTTTTGATTTTTTTGACCGTTTCTGAAACTTTTTAAATATATATTCCCGAGAACTACCCTGCCATATCTGAGATTGTGGGATAAATTCAAAGAACGGTTTGTGGGAAGCTCCTTTGCTCATGCGACTACTTTTAAATTTTTCTTTCTCTGAAAGTAATGGCCTTTAAAAAGTTTTGATTTTTTGACGGTTTTTTTCTCGAGAACTACCCTCACAGATTTGAGATTTTGGGTTCAACCGAAAAACAGGTTGAGTGAATTTCTTTGGCGTAAGCGACTACGTCTTATTTTTTACTCAAAAAATCTATAAATCTCGGAAAATTTTTAAAATTGTTGACCGTTTTTTGGACTTTCTCGCCAACTATCTTGCCAAATCTGATATCATAGGTTTAATCAAAACCACAATTTGTTGAAGTCTACCTTTATAATTGGCTATGCCCATTTTGCTTAAGAAAAAAGCTATTCCCTTCAACAAGTCGATGTTTTGAAACTTCGACTGTTTTTTTTTTGAAACTTTTTGACTTTACGCGAAAACTACCGTGCCAATTCTCTCAGGTTGTGCTCAATCGAGTAACCCGGTTTTGGGAGACTTTTCCACTTAAGTGGCTACAACATGTTTTTGTTTGCAGAAGAAAGTTATGGATTTTGCAAGTTCTTTTGACCGTTTTTAGAATTTCTGACCGTTTTGCAGAAACTTATGAATTTTCTTAAAACCACCCAATCAAACCTGAGATGAAAATTTCAATTGAAAAATTGGTTGCGCTAATAGGTCCTGCAGAAGTAGTGACACCTTAATTTTTTGTAAGAGAAGTCTTATCTTTTTGGTAAAATTGATATATCAAATTTTTTTTAGAGAAAGTCCAATTTGTGAAATCATTTTTTTCGCGCCTCATCAGTATAGCCAATCCATTCAAAATCAAACACGTACCTCCAGTTTCAGCTGGGTCCACTAGTTGTTTTTTTAATCTAGACATAGGAATATTTTTCAGTTCACCTAGTTTTTTTTTCAACATTAAAATTTTTTTCGACTTTTTAAATTTTTTTTTCGATTTGTTTTTTTAATGTTTTTTTTTGTATCGCAAGTGTGCTCGTTTCATGTGCTCCGCTTCGCCTGTTTGTTGTTATAATTATTATTAATTTTTCTACAACAAGGGTATTAGAACAAAATATATTCTCTGGTGTCTTATTTTAGCAACTATTACTTCTAAAAAAATAACTCCTAAAACTAAGATCAATTCGTCGATAAAATTTTTTTTAAGTGAACAGTTTGGTGGAAACACTGTTCAATTTTTTTGTATTTGTAGTTGAATATAGGTATTTAAGTTATAGTTTTGCAAAATCGGCGCTAAATTTCATGAGTTCCCTAAATTGCTGCTGAGGATAGAAACTCTGGCTATTGTACTTGTTCTCCTGGTGATCATGTTTTGCAGGTCTGCCAATGAGGTGCGTTTTGGCCTATGAGGTGAGTTATGAGCCGGTTTTCATTTATTGCATAATTAAAAGGCGAGTTAATTGCTTCTGTAATTATTC